ATGTCATGAACGTTGAGCTTCAAGCTGATAGCGAATTAATGTAGTCTCCGAAGGATTTATGTGATACTTTTGGCCAAGGCTCCTCGGATCTCTGTAAGAATGTAAACGGCTTTAGCCACAAGGTCTCTCTTGCAACTCTTGCTGACTCTCTCCAGGTCAGGGCCCAAAGTCTAAGTCAAGGCTCCAGAGCCGCGGACTTCACACGAGACCGAACACAATTCAAGACGGCCAAGTTGCGTTATGACATACAAATCCAGCAAGAAACGACGGAGCACCGCAGCTCCAAACCACAAACTCCTGCACCCTAACCCCCAAGCCGCACTCCCCATACCAGCACTCAGGCCGCGGGTGTAGCGTTTGGGCTTAGGGTACCAAACCCTGAACCCTAAATAGTAGCTTCCACTTTCTTTCCCGTTCTCCCGATACATCCACTACATAACCCCTTATGAGTACGATTATTACCAGTATACTTGATACTCAAATGATGCTCGAGGTATGGGATCCTGCAACGGCAGCCAGGTCCTGCAAAAGAGCCGACAATTGCATCTCGACTCAGGTGCTAGACTGGGGCATGCGCATTCGTTTGCGTTTGCGAGTAAGGTATCTACTGTTGCATATGTGAACAGGGTACAAGCGAAGCCACCTTTGCACCTCCAACCATAGACCACCCACATTTCTGAACACTTTGGGCGGCCCTTGGACCCGTGGCCCTTGCCTCGGCAAGGCCCTCTCCATCCTGCGCGCAGTGATCAGCCCAATGTGTTTTTTTGCAAAGGGTCCCTGGTCCCTGGGCCCCTAGCTGCATGTGACAACTTTATGAGCTCTAGGGTGCCGCGATCGCCGCAAGGAGCTTTGATGTAATGCGAGAGTCCATCACAACATTGTTGCGAATAGGTCCTAAGGCGAAAGTCCAGTTCCAGGTTTTGAAAATAGGAACCAACAAGACATAAGGCCAACAGCTGCGCACAACCTACAGGCGCGCCACATCTAAACACGATTGAAATTGCTCTGGGCTTTGTTCTTGAGTCCACAGCCATTGAATGAAAACACCTGTGTGCGGAGTTCTCCCGCTTCCGATTCCTTCCGCGAACGCGTCGCAGACTCAGATAGACCAGCGAAATCAGTCAAATGCAGAAGCCCTGGATGCCGCAGGCATGAATCACGAAATGACGCACGCTAGATGTCCCAGCTCCTTCTTCAGCTGAAGTTCGTTCAAGTTGCTTGAAATAAACCCAACGGAAGCAAACGAGTAGTGCCCCATGCGGCCGGCCTTGCTGCTGCTTTCAGAGTGAGCCAGCTGCTGCGCATCGAGGGGTTGCTTCTGCGTAGGCCACCTGCTGTGACATCAGGCTGATACGACAGGACGATCTTTCTTGGTGTCAGGGCGCGACCAGCTCCGGATGATGTGGTTACCATTCAGCCCTACCACCACTGCCACCCACAACACTACCACGATTCCTCCTCCTGCTATTCCAGTTGTCGCAGCCATTGCTTTCACTCACAAGCATCAGGAGAGTCTACTGGTGACCCATATGCAAATCCGCCTTTTGGAAGTACCTTACGCTCAACGACCTCAACATTGGCTATACACTTCAGCGACATCCTCTTGCTGGCTGGGTGCTCGCCCACTCCCGGTTCGATGCCAGCCTCGATGCCACGCCCCTGGCAGGTCTAAACCCTCAACCCTAAACTGTGGGCCGAGCTTTCTTGGAGACGAAAGCTCAGCGGCCTTCTTCCTTTGAGAAACTTGACCTTCCACGGCTCGAATGAGAAGAGTGCCCAGATAATCTGGATGAAGAGATTGATAGAGTTTGCTGCATGGCTGCCGCAGATGGCTTGCCCCCCCCTAACCGCCTTCAGAAAGAGGGTGGATACAGCCATCCCGTTTTAGAAATCTGAAGACGGTCAAAGTGGAATAGGGAAAGTTTAGGGAGGCCCAAAATTGCTGAGAATTGCAAATTTAGACAAAAAAAAAGCAGATGTAGCAAAACAGATGCGGGTAAACGAAAAGCAACGAACTTAAACCTGTAGATGATTAGTCAAACCACACACCGGACGTCACATCTAGTAAAGTAGCTTTGGGTAAGCAATCTTGGGTAAACAATCCGCGCGACAGGTTCAAGAAAAAAGAGGTTTGGGCGCCACAAAGAGCAAACCAGTGCTTTAGGTGAGCAAGCCGGGCAGCACGTCTGTTCATCAAGGCATTTCCTAGCACTTGTAAGTTTTCATTGGATTTGCAAGGGGTTCGGCTTTCATAGAATTCTAACGAACTCACGAGTCAACTCATGAGAAACCAATGCTTTTGGTGACCCCTTATTATGTCCTCTTGCTCTTTGCTTCCTTCTTTGCGTTTCTTCCTTCCTTTGCCTCAATTCCTGCCTTTCCTTCCTTTCTTCCACTGCTTCCCTTGTTTGGAGGCTTTCCTGTTGAACTCTTCAAGTCTAGAGAATGTGCAGAATTTGCACTTGAAATCTCAGGGACAAGAGGCTTAATCCCAAACTGTACAGAATGTGTAAACTTCAAAAATGAGTAGGGGCCGAACAGCGGAAGCCCCGCCCCTCGTGCTAAAGAATGATGAATCCTGTGTGAACATTGTCAGTTGAGGGGGCCTGTGACACGGCAACCCACCGCGGCTGCTCTGCTCAATTGTCTAGGGTTTAGGGTTTCGGCCTTTAGGTTCAGTGTGACCTCGAAGCAACTGGCCATCTTGGAAAAGCCAGGCCAGTTTTTCCTTCCAAAGACTTGGCTTGAAGAGAGCCACTGGAATTCAACAACTACCCTCTCTGCCATCAACAACATCAATAACAAGAGCAAGCACACGAAGAAGAAGAAGAACAATGATGACGACGAACGCCAACGCCACCGCCACCAACAACACGAACAAAGCAACAGAAAAATCAGAATAACAACAAGAGAACCATCATGAGGCCAATCAAAGGAAGAAGAGCAGCAGCAACAGCAGCCGACAGCTTGCACAGTGTGCGCCCAAGCGTGGCGGGCATTCTACCAGCGACTGGGCCCCAACAGCATCCTGTGCGTACGCGAGGGTCAGTAACCATGCTAAGTAGTACAGCAGAGTTTCATGAGTTGATCGAGGATATGGGTATCTTGGGGGTTGATGGGCTTCTTTACGTTTAACGACTCAGGTTGCGGTTCAGAGCGTTGGTGTTTCATCTTCGAGTATATTGCTCCACTTCCCCGAAGGTTAAGCGGTTGGAGCTCCTGACTTGAGTTCCAGGATTCGGTGGTGGGCCTTCAGAAAACCTCTGTTCGTGTAAAAGTGAGGCATCTCTTCACTGCGGAATGGTATGAAACGCTGACGAAGTGAAGACTTGGGAGTTCCCACGCTAAACCTTAAATCCTAAACCCCAGCAATTGGAGTCTGAGGGCTTTGGATTCAGCACTTTCGGGCTTGGATTTGATGTCATGCGCTCCGCAGCTGACAGCTGTTGCGTTTGCAGACTGAAGGACTGGCTACATGAGTACCTTACTGGTGGTTTTAGTTATGTAGGGTCATATTGGTTTAGGGCTTGGGGTCAGTTTAGGGTTTACTTACTGGAGGTTAGTTGATGCAGCGAGGTAAACTGAAGCCTCTAGGGTGCAGGCCCTGAACTTCTGAACCTCAACACCTCAAACCCTAAACAGCATCCCTAATTTGCCTTTGCCTGTGCTCTGGGCTGAAAATTTCTGCGCACGGACATGCCTGCTGTATAAACACGAAGCCCTTGCTGATTTGCTGATGGTTAGGTGAAGCAGGTAATAGGCAAAGCAGACTTGACTGACATGCTGTACTGTTGCATGCACATGTTGCATGTACTTGGGTATTTGCTGTTGCATTCTTGAAATGTACGTACCCTGCATGCTGGTCTTCTCAACTCTGCCTTACACCTTGCACACTCGGATGTACCTAGATGTCCTCTACAATATTGGTGCGACACTAACCTTTACATAAGCTACAGCCTAAACTCCTAGTACCCCATGATGGTCCGCCATATTCTAACCCCTCTGTAAGGAGTTTGGACTATAGCTCACAAAACAGCCAGCACCAGGCCTGCCCAGATGCCCCAGCCGCAGACGGCTCCATCAGCATGCACGGAGACTTTCTTAACAGAACCCTGCTTAGAAGGGAATGAGGGGATGTATTCTATCTACAGGGATATGGATTGTATTCATTCCCTACTGGCCCCCAGTAAGTTTCTATACTGACTATAGAAGGAACCGCAACCGATATTGGGAACCCTGGTTCCATCTCAAGAAGGCCCCATGTAGCCCATCTAGGATATCAAGGTTTCATCAGGCACCGCTAAGAAACAAAACGACCCGAAGAAGTCCTATCAATCCTAGTCCCGCCATCACGCTGAAGCCTGTAAAACGCGGCGATGGAACAGTCTCTCATCCAGTTGAAGCATTTTGTGCTTAAGACTCTTCTTGGGTGTCAGCCAGCCAGATCCTGAGTCTTGCGCTGTGGTGTATACAGGCGCGACACACGGAAACACGCCTTCGTCTTCGCCCAGGTTACAGTACCTGGAAAGATAATGGGTCAGGGTCGGCCCAAGCGTGACGCCAGTAACCGACCTGGAAATCGATACGGGCGCTCCTGGCATTAAGGCGCTGAACCCAGGAACAAACAAAGCCCGCACGTTGCCAGGTGATCATGCAGCTGCAGCCGCTGCAACTAGTTGGGCAAGGGGCCCCAGCTATTGTCATCCCTTACACCCCAGCGAGATGTGGATATGATGTGCATCCAGTGTCATTTTGAACCACGGCCATTGCTAAACGTGGAGCTATGCCATATGCTAATCCGCGCACCAGTTGTGAACCGTGTGACTGAATCACCAATCCAAGACCTGTAAGGTCCCTCAGACTCCCCTTGTTTATGAAGGCTGGTCATGAACCAGTGATCCGCCATGAGCAGCGCGCTGGTCGCGCGCATGCGCTAGACTAAACGGCGCTTTGCCGCTTAATTGTGATACTTTCAAAAGAATTTCTTCATTAACTGCTCAGATGGTGCCGAGCATTGTGGGCGCGTCGGGATTTGGAGCCAACCTTGCAACAGAACACTGCGCAGGATGTGGCCCCTGGCGCAAACATACTGCGACTTCACTAGAGTCACTAGAGCCTCCCTTTGTCCCTACACGCTTGCTACTATCTAGTACGTGCCTCTTCCCTGCTCAATTTTAAAACTGTACCACGTCCCTGTAAAAGAATGTGGTTTGAGAAGGGCTTCTTCTTCAAGTGGCCTCCAGCGAGCTAGAAAGGCGATCCAGGCTGGATCCTTCACATCCTTAGAAAGCCAGCTTTTTGAACATCAAGTTCCCATGATGGGTATGTAGGTATGCATAGCAATTTATATAATTCCCAACTAGAACATTAATTAATCTTGGGTGGATGGTTTTGGGATTCGGAGTTCCCATGAGCCTTTGAGCCAGCTGTACAGCCCTCCCTTACAGGCTTCTGGCATCGAGGCCCAAGCGTGAAACCAAGCCGTCGCGATGGACGACACCTGACTCGCATCCTGGCGTTCGACGCTGTGGTAAGCAATGTCCCAGAAACAGCATATTGGGGTTATGTAGGGATGATGGAAAAGAAAATGGAAACTAGCGTCGTATATTAGGGTGCATATATTGGGGTTACAGTACGGCTGTCATTGTCATGCCTATTGCTCATGGAAGAGAGGAATGGAAACTGGTTTGTGTTTGTTTTCGCGAGAGAGAATGGAAAAGAAGAGGAACCCCAACACATGCGGCAAGTACCGGGTTGCGCCTCCAGCAGTAGACCATGACCGGATTCAGGCAACATACAGCAGGAGACGCCGACAGGTGAAAAAAGGTTCCGGACCTTCAAAGCTGAAGGCTCTTCCACCGCTCTTGAACATTGGTCATTGGCAACTGCTTGGAGGCCTCGTGCTCCGCCTCACTGAAAGGCACCGTGCAATCACCTCGGAGGACCGCGTCATCTTCAAGCATCCATGGGTCTGCGTTTGAGTCCCTCGCTATCGCCCCAGACAAAAAGCGTCGGAACGCTTCCTCTTGCGAGTCTTGCATAGGAGTCCTGGCTGCTGCCACGTGCTTCCTCATGACACAAGTGTCTCAACTGGTGCTGGTTCAGTGCCCACAAGCAAGGTCGAGAAAGGACAGTGTTTTGTGTGTCAGGGAGCTCAGCATCCTGACTCCTTTCTCCAAGCATGTCATGCACACGGTCTAAGGGCTCAGTTTAGGATTCTGAAATGCTCTGAGCAACACTTGCTGTGACCTGCCGCGGGAGTTCTTCAGGGGGAGGCGGCAAGAGTTAATTGCCGCAAACCTCCTCCTCGCATCATGCCAGTTTTGAGGAATCGGCCAGTGATGGTGCTGACCAGGCTCCCGACAACTAGAAGCCAATTGTCTTCTGTCGGTTTAGGCACCGACAGTAAACACACTACAGGGTTACACAGGGGGGTGACATGAAAGGCAAGCGGCAAGCGGGGTCAACACGCTTAATTGCTTGGGAGTTGCAGATGAAGTGCCCTGCCCGGCTGGCCTTGAAGTCTTCGCACCAAAGAGGCATCCTCCGCAGCACGCGCAGGTAAGAGTTCACCTGCAGGTCAACTTCTCAAAAGACAAGCTTGATGAGGCATATACATAAGATAAGGTCGTAGAGTCCGGTCCAGAGCTGTAAACATGTTCAAACATCCGAATTCGTCAAAGCAGCAGAACGGTGAAAGTTCCAAAGGAACCGCTCTCCTCAGGTCGGTCAAGGTAGAAAGAATCTCTCTTTGGAACGGTGGGTGAGATTCCGGCCATTCTTCCGCGCAACGTTCGTGAACTTCTCAGGCTCACGGACATCGAGCTGACACGGCACGGGGGACGGAGACTTCCAATTCATTTTCCATTTCATTCTCGATTATCGGGATAATATATCACTAAACCCCAAGCCCTAAATGATAGTACAGCCGAGGCATGAAGCATCCACAAAATACCAAACAGCAAAGCTGGTGCCATTTTGCAGAATTCCTAGTAAGAACTTAACTTAAATTACTATAACATGGGTATATCATAAATATATAATCAGCTTCTTTATAACAGCAACCCAGTTTGTGTGGAGGACACATTTAGCTAGGCGCAGCAGGAAAAAAAAAACGATGTCCACTTTTCACCGCTACCTGTGCTTGCTAAGCAACCGGTCGAAAGCGCCAAGCGGGGGCCTCAAATTTGTCCGCCAGCTTGTCACCGGTATATATCCGGCGGGCACAACCTCGCCAAAGCACTATCACTATACCAAAGATTACGACTGCTCTACTGACATGTCCTGCGACATCTTTTCGGCTTAAGCCTATGAGGGGTATTGATGCTAACCATCTGGAATTTCCCAGCTTGGCTTGGCTCATGTTCGGCATCTGGGTGCAGGGCAGCTGCAACAACAAGCGAGAGACGTGGCTGCCGCCAGCAGGACACCTTTCAAACAAGGCAAGTAACAAAGTTACACCCCTAAGCCCAATTAGGCCTAAACCACCCCACCTCCCAGCCGTGTTCGCAGGCATCCTCAGGTGAGTTTCAGGGGTATCTCCACTGTGGATGTGAAGAGCGGTGGGCGAAAGATGTTAGGGAAGCCGAGCAGGGATGAGCCTTGATTTAGAGAATGGACCATGTTAAGTCAAGCCGTCACAGAATGAACTCCGAACAGGGCTCGTGCATACAGACCCCTGCATAGGCGCAAAGAAAGCTGTCAAAAAATGAACTCGAGAGCACACTGAGGGAGGCATTCGAGCACTACAAGCTGAGCTGAAAAATCACATGAGCTATAGTCTACATAGGGTTTTTATCAGATCCTTTTTCTATCCAGGACATACACAGGGTTTAGGATTTAGGGTTTGCAGTCTCCCCTCCCAGGAGCACCATCAAGTTCAAGTTCAAGTGCTCTTTGCGGCCCTAAATGCTACCAACAAGCTGGGCGGAGACCGTCAACGATGTACTAACATCAGATGGACCATGAGACGCAGACGGAAGGAAGACAGAGACAGTAGGCAAGCAGAGAGAGGAAGTGGCAAGGATAGGCTGAGGAGATTTTGCAAGGCTATATAGGGATAACGGAAAAGAAAATGGAAACTACTAGGGATTATGGGGATTATACACGGTACATATTGGGGTTTTATTGGGGTTATAGAGGGATAATGAAAAATGTCCTATCAACAATGATACAACAAAGTCTGCATGCTTCAAGGGTAAAAGGGTTTGCAAGGCAGCAGAAAAGAATCAGGGTTGGAAAATGGCAGCAATATGTGGGAAATGTGTTGCAACGGATATTGACATGACACAGCTTGAAAATTTTATCGTGGAACGGCCAGAAGCTTCTTGAAAATGTCAAGTGCTGCTGGATAGTTGCACACGCTCGCAGAAATGGTGAGGAAAAGCTTTATTGTCGTAAACTGTGGCAGAAAGCATGCGAGAGCTGACCACCAATCACATCCAGGAAGTAAAGCGGAGGCTGCAATGTGGAGCAAGTGCAAAGCACAAAAAGATTGTCAAAGAGGAAAAAATCCGGAAACAAGTGCGGAACTTCACAAGCACAAATCTGAAGTCACGTTGTGGGTTCTATTTGTGGAGCATGCACGGGGATGGGAATTCTGCCCAATCTATCAACAGAAGCAGCTCAGATCTGTGCCAAACAAGAGCGGCCTGCAAGGTGTTTTTGACCTCAGCAGCAATATATATGCATGTATATATATATACATTTATTTGTTTATCTACTTATTGATTTATTCATGTATTTATTCATCTATTTATTCATTTGTTATTACTAGTCTTATTGTTTTTACTATTGTTCTTATTATGATTGTTGTTATATATTTTCGTAGTTCCCTAACACTCAGCCCTCTCAAGAGGAGCCCTACAACCAACGTGAACCACTACCACATATCGGCCTCGCCTCTGGAGAAGGCCGCCCGGAGCAACGAGGAGCAGTTTGGCTACCCTGGCTTTGCGCATATCATCAAGATCCATGGAAGGTCATGCACATCCAGGCCTCCCTGGAAACCGCAATACGAATTCCACTGCAATGACTCCACCTCACTGCAAATGAAGAGCTTCAAGAAGCTACCGAGCGAGGCTTTTGGCCGAGGCACCCATGCTGAATCCCAGCAGGAGCACCTGCAGGGTAACGAGCTCATCCGAGTGCGTCTGTGCTTCAAGCTGAAGTGGGCGTGCCATCTAGAATCTAGCTTTCCACGGGTCATGCCAGATCTGAGATGCAATTGCAATTGATCGTTGACATGCCACTTCCTGCAGGCGCAAGGCCCAAGAAGAAACTCAGAAGAGCTCGCTTAGGCCGGATGTCATGGCACCCCATTCACGGGCACCTTCTCCGTTGGCGGGACCTTCAGCGCCTGCAGAAGCGCTGACACCTGCCGGAGTCTGCTTTTGAAAGTGGAGCGAAAGCTCCTTCAAATGGCTTGGGCAGCCTGCTCCACGTAAGTTCCCAGGTCCAGACGCCCTCCCGGCGCTGCACTTAGCCCAAAGCCGTACCTCAACTCTCACACTCTCTCCCAAATCCAACGACTCACAGGCCATGGCTCTGGCAGGTCGAAGCAGAGGACCCGCAAGCCGGACTCTGCCAACCGAGGCCTACAAAGGCAAAGAAGTCAGGAAAGCAGGTGAGTAGCTCTTCCCTCCCTCATTGACTCAGGGCTCCAGCGCTATGTTGTCAAAGCTCGAGAGCGAGCCGTTGACGCCGTGCACGCAAACGACCAGGGGCGCAGGAGCCGGTGGCCTGCTGTACAACATGATTTTTTATGAAGGCGGAAAGAGGGGCATGTCCCGAACCCCATCAGCACGTAGTTCACGTCTCCCCTCTTCAAGCGGGCACCTCAGATGTGTTAAGGCCAGGCGCGCGGCAGGTGAGTCAAAGGTGAGTCGGTGAAGTCTGGGCCTCCGACGTTGGCCGCGAGTGAAGGGCCCAGAAGTTCGAGGCTTTGCTGGTGCTGCTGGTGGGGAAGCCGACGGAGTGCAGGGGTTGGAGATTGCATCTGGCTGGGGTTGGGACAGGTGCCCCGGCCCAAGTGTCCTCGTCACGCATCCATGAAGTCACGAATCAACATCTGCAAGCTGCACAACACCCCATATGTTGGTGCAAGTAACGGGCCGAACGCTGGCATGTAGCCAGCCGCACATGTGGCTCAGCTACCAGGGCTCTGCTTCTTTACATTTGTTGCTTCGAACTCTGTGTCAACAGCCAGAAGCTTGTGCTGTGCCCCAGCCAATGCAGCCTTGTTTCGAAATATCATGCAATATCTTTTATTGTCATGCATTGGCAACATGTCATGGGCCAAAGGTGAGCATGAACTGGCTTCCCAACCAACCTCCACGAGCCCGAAAGCTAATGAAATCATGTCTTCGTAGTTGCACCGAGCAGTCCACGCAGCCCTGCTGGAAATCAAGCTTCTGCATTTTTGCTTGCCAAGCATGTAACTGTTGAAGACTACGCCAGGTGATGCTATGTTTCGCACCATTCTGGGACATCATTAACGAAGCACAGAGACGTGACCGATTATCATGCCTTGGCTTTCTCCACCGGTTTCTCCAGCAGCTTCCAGGACGGATACACTTTGTGAGGTGTCGGGCAGAACTTTCCCTCGTAGGGACTTTTCAGGGCCAGGCGCCCTCCACTTTGCAGACCCCAAGCCCAAAGCTCCCCGGCATCTGTGGCCGCCAGGGAATGTGCATAACCACAAGCTGTAGCTATGAGTTCTGGCTTTCCTGAACCCCAGCCTTTACTAGAGACTAAAGTAGGACCAGCTTGATCCGCGGATCCTTTACCCCAGCCCCACATGCTGCCCTGGGCAGTGATGCAAAGAGTGTGGTTGCTCCCAGCAGCCACCGACAGAACCTCAGAACCGTCCTCGATCTTCTTGAAAAGCAGTGGAGTCTTGATGTGATCCTCTTCGCAGACTGTGTAGTCACGACCGAAGACCCATAACATCGACCTCTCATCTAGCACACAGGTATGGAAGGAGCCGCAGGTCAGCTGTGCAAATCTGGGACACTCAGCTGTTGTTCCCAAATCTGGCATCACAGTCTGCACCAGCTTCAGGGAGTATTGATTGTCCATGTCCCCATGGCCCAGGCGGCCGAACCAGCCCGCCCCGCAAGTGAATAGCTCCCCATTGCTGCAAATCACTGCTGTGTGGGTGGCCCCACAGCTTACTGACTTCATGCAGCTCTCGATCTTCACCTGCTTTGGGAAACCCATGGAGCTGCGGATCATGCTTGAGCCATGTCCCAGTTTGCCACATTCTGCATTGCCCCATGTGTAGAGCTCACCTCCAGGCGTGATAGCAGCCGAATGGTCCTCGCCAGCAGCCACCGCGCTGACCTTGCTCAACGCAGCCACGAAGGTCGGCTCGTTGGCGTCCTGCGGGGCTTCGCAATGCCCAGGTTGGAGTCATCAGGGAAAGTGGCCTACATCGACTGACTCAGATTTCATGCTCTGGGCGAATGACTATCTTTCTGCCTTGTCGACTTCAGACGTTTACCAAGGCAGTTTTACTTCTGTGCGTCAGTTTCAGGAACATCCTGCAAAAAGCCTTGTGGACGATGTTCTGCAATAAGATGAAATGATGTTGAAACCATTGGACCTCCAACGCAAGCAAAAACAAGATACAAAACCACAAAAACATATACACGGAAAAACGAAAAGGTGCTGCTATGCTGGGTGGCAGACGATCGGCGGAAGTCTACAGTATGCCCAACTTCTTCTCCCAGAAGTGGAAAATATTGCAACCTGACAGCTTCAAATACCAGTGCTAAACCCTCCCACTTATCACTGGGTCCGGCCGGCATGACGGATCCTCAAACCTGGCGGTTAGCTTCATGGACCCATCTGAAGTGCGGCTTTCTCTCTGCTCATGACAATCAAGATGGGTGCCGAGCTTGGGAATGTCATCCGCACGCCGCCCAAACTGCGGGGCCCTTGCTTTGCCGGTGGAGATGTTACAGGGGGTGACTCGGTGATCCAACGAAAAGCAAGTGCAGGACCTGGTGCATCACCACGTCATCCACCACGCTGCAGTGTTCCTGGGACTTTCACTTTCCACAAGCGATTGGCCAGCTAAGCGGCAAAGCAACATCTGGACGCACGTTTCAAATCCGTTTTTGCTCTCCTCCGCGCCGCTGCTCACTAGTCGGTTTTTTTTTTGTTGTACGATTACAGCGCTCTAGCGCATGAGGAAAAGATTCCAACGGCAACTTCTGTGCCAATGCATGGCGATTCCTCTGATGGCATGATGGAGCCGAAGCACTCTAGAACAACCCTTGCATCGCTACGCATCTCCTGAAAAAAGGAGCTCATGGGATGGGTGCACTCCAATGAGCCGCAAGTCATGTGCTGTCCTGTAACACCCAAAGCTTGCTGCAGCAAGCATTTTGGCCCGGACCCACTTGATGGAGACCCTCACTAGTCGTCAGAAGAAATGCCCTGCCGCCGCCGCCAAACCTGAGCCACAATGACGTGTTCTCACTGGAGGAAGAATTTGCCTTGTGTAAAGCCTATGCCTAATAGCCTCAAGGACCTATTCTCAACCACAAGACCTACAGCCGTTGCACGAGAACAATCACTCCGTCGAATAGTTTGCTGTAGTACAGTATAATACAGCATACCATTGAAAAGTATATGAATACGCGTAGGAAGCGTAATGCTTGAGACGCTCCAATAAGTAACACAATCAGGAAGAGCAATGTGCGGGAAACCCCCACAATTGATACACATGTCCAGGCAAATCTTGCATACTGTGTTTTTTTTTATTATCTTCTCTTGACTAATATACTGCCTGGGATGGTATAGCAAACCATAGTGTAGGACATCCTTGGATACCATACCCTAGTACAATATACCCGTGAGTAACGTTCCATAACAAAAACAGTTATGAAGCGTGTTCTTCGGGGAGGACGCCTCAATAAGCGATTCAATTAGGAAGCTTAATGTCCAGGAGGACCCAAGAAGAGAAACGTTTGGAAGCAACATTTTCGGGAAGCCCGAGCAATGCATCTTTCCAACAAGATGTAGAAAATACTGGTAAGTGTACTATAATAGCATGCTATGTACGCTTCGATAATATACTATACTACAGTACTCAGAATGGCTACTCATATCTTGAATTCCCAGCCCTGGAGCCCAAACATTGTGCCGGGATTAGTATTGTAGTATACTGTAGCATAAGAGTAGCGGTCATAGAAACTGTTACATTTTCTTCACTAGAAAAAATGGAATAAAGCTTCACACACCATACATAGGTCCATGCTATAGTGTTTCATCTGAGGCCGCGGCGCATTTCGTGAAAACAGCGCAAAGACGTGACATGTTGCCGTGCGGTTCGTCCAGCAGGGGGGCAACATCGTTGTCATCATCGGAGCATGAATCCTGGCAACGAGGACACCTTCCTGAAAAGCTGAATACACACAAGCTGGCATCATGTCAGAGTCCCATGAGCCTCCTGGATGACTGGCCATGACTCGTGGGGCTCATCATGCGCTTCGTCTTGCTCTGCATGTCCCTGCGCTTGTTGAGCCGCTTGGCTCAAACACAACCCCTCAAGCATGTGGGTTGAAAGTGTCATGCGGGAGCGCCTAACAAGGCAATCGAAATGCCTATCCCCTATCATGACTCTCTTGCGCTCGCACCAACCTTCTCAAAGCAAGTGTGAAGGCTCATGATGATGACGCGAATGGTGATGATGAATGATGATGGCCATGCTTCGTACATCAGTTTACTCAAGACAGCCGGCGTCTACAAGTGAAGGGCTCGTGCAAAAGGGCGTGAGAATTGTAACGCGACCTGGGGTCTAGCAAGGCCTGACCCACCATGCCTACGCCTCACTTGCAGATGGCACAGGCAAACGCTTTTGAGGGTTGCCATGCCCGCCTGGAGTTGCCAAGAGGAGGCGGGAGGTATGGGGTTTGAGGGCCGCTGAGCGGGGAGCGGACCCAAGGGTGACCGCCCTACGGACCAGCGTGTTTCGACAGAACCAACTTGCACATCGCTATGATGATGGCCGAAACGATTGGGATGAGGAATCTGATGGCTGTAGCAACGACAGGATCAAGAGGACAGTGCAGCTGTTGAGGATGATTGTATCTGCGATGTTGATGACAGTTCTTCTTAATCTGTTTCTGAATATTGTCATTGTTGTTGTTGTTGTTGTTGCTGTTGCTTGCTGTGGTTCTTGCTGCTGTTATTGCTCTTGTTCTTGCTCTGCTATTGCTCTTGCTGCTGCTGCTACTGCTGCGGCGTTTTGGAGTGTTGCAATTGATGTTGTCAAGGTTGGCCTCGTTCCATGTAGGATTGTCCAATCGAAAGTGGTGTTTATAGTGTGGTAGAGAGCAGCTGCAGAGCTTTGGGAGGTTTTTCAAGAACCTACTGCTTGCGATTCTTCTTCTAGTCATAGTCCTCTGCGTTTTGGGGTATTGGAGTTGATGTTGCCAAGTTGGTCTCTTTTCACGTAGGATTTACGAGTATCTAGACAAGAATCATTGCTGTTTAGTATTTTCGAAAGCAGTTGGAATGCTTTTCGATGCAAAAAATGTAACCTACTGCTGTGCGTGTTGGCCCATTTGCTTTTTGGGCATTGCAATTGATTTGGGCAACGTTGGCCTCATTTCATGCAGGATTTGCCCGGATCCAGCCAATCAACATTGGTGTTTGGAGTAGATCAAGCAAAAGGAATGCTTTTCGAGACAGAAATGCCACTAACTGTTAACCAATCGTTTTGGGGAGCTCTTGTTGTTCTTGCTGTTGCTGTTGCAGTAGCTGCTCCGGTTGCTGTTGCTGTTGCTGTTGTCGTTGTTGTCGTTGTGGTTGTTGGTGTCGTCGTCGTTGTTGCTGTTGTTGTTGTTGTTGTCGTCCTATTGTTGATGTTGTTGTGGTTGCGGTTGTGGTTGCCGTTGCCGTTGCCGTTGCCGCTGCTGCTGCTGCTGCTGCTCCTGCTGCTGCTGCTGTTGTTAATGTTAATGTAATGTTGAGGTTGTTGTTAATGTTGTTGATAATTATCGGTGTTGCTGTGGTTGCTGTTGTTGTTGCTGTTGTTGTTGTTGTTGCTGCTGCTGCTGTTGTTGTTGTTGGTGTGATTGCTGTTGCTGTTGCTGTTGCTGTTGCAGTAGCTGCCGCAGTTGCTCTTGTGGTTGTGGTGGTTGTGGTGGTTGTGGTTCTGGTTGTGGTTGTGGTTGTGGTTGTTGTTGTTGTTGTTGTTGCTGTCGCTGTTGCTGTTGTTGCTGTTGTTGCTGTTGTTGTTGTTGCTGTTGTTGTTGTTGTTGTTTTGTTGTCGTTGTTGTTGTCGTTGTTGTCGTTGTCGTTGGCGTTGTTGTCGTTGTTGTTGTTGTTGTTGTTGCTGTTGTTGCGCTGTTGTTGCTGCTGTTGCTGTTGCTGTTGCAGTA